TACTTATGATTATTATTTTTTATTTACTATCGATATATACATAAAAAGTCAATCGAAATAGCAATTTATAATATCCTTAATGTATTGTCATATCACACAATATTTATAAGTATAATTGCCGTTTGAAATGTCTTGTTGATACAAATTTTGCAATTAAATCTAATCTTTTTAAGCTTGGCTTATCCGATAATTTTATTAAAAATAATCACAATAATCAGACGATTGTTTATATTGATTATGTTTATTTATACAACTCATTCAAATTCGACATTATTGCTACGCGAGTAGAATATTATTAGAAACATTGAACATTGTCTCGGTAATTATGATTTTCATTCGTGGCATATTTGCAAGATATATATGTCAAGGGAATTTTTTAAATTTTGAAAGCCAAATATTTGACGATTTAGAATTTATGTATTTTACATTTATTAAGTAGACATGACATGTATACTTTGATATTGCAACTGTTGATAGCCATTGGTCATCTTTGCATTATTACAATATTCATTAAATACAGGCTTTTACAGTTAAATAATCCACAATATTATTATATGCAAATAATAATTATATTGAAAATTGTAATTTTTGTTTTGTTTTGCCAATTGTTTATTTATTAAACATGAATAAAAAAAAAAAAAAAAAAAAAAAAAAAAAAAAAAAAAAAAAACATACGGTGACATTGATAAAGGATAAAGATTATGAATATGTATTCTGAAAATTATTAAAATGCACTATCAATCGTCTTTTGAAGAATCGACTCGATCTTAACATAATCGCGTTAATCGCAATTTTCGCATTTACTCGTCGCAGAGATCTTCCAATATTTCATGCAAGTCCATATATTATTACGCGCGAATAGATTAAATACGAATACGTGCGAGGGTTGTAATCAACATATATACATTGTGTGCATATGTAATGGCCCGGAGAACATGGGATATTGTAATGTACCGAGTTGCGGTGAAACAAGCGCGAGATGTTATGTATTAATTATTTCATTAAATTATAGTTTATACGCGTCTTCGTACTTTTCAAAGTCCCGAGTGCCTCTATGTTTTATTTAAAAGTACTGCGAGCAATTTAATTAATAATAATTAATACAAAATTAAAATAACAATATTAAATAAGAGCCTTCAAGCGTTCCTTTGTTTGCTCATTTATTGTGATGTTCGTGATCATCTTTCACGGCCTTATTATGTTTCTCCTTGTTTCGGCGACACCGGAAATAATTCTCCATATTGCAGATACTCTGCTTTGCCTTTTTCGTTTTTTGTTTACTCATTCTACATATTTATTGTCACATTTTTTCATTACGAAATTCTTTTACATTTGTTATATTTTTGATTAAATAGCACTCATAACTGTGTTCTCGTCATTAACAACAAAATGCATAATTTGAAACTATTAGATAAGTACTGAAGATTCCAATAGTATCTTTCTTAATCTTGTATAACCGTTTCATGAAAGTTTATTATCTCATAAGTTTCTCATTTGCATGTAAAATATTGTTAAATATAATTAATCGCATTAGAATATTATTAAAGTTATTAAAATATCAGTTACATGATGCATTACATCGTAATTCGTTTTTCATTAATTATAAGAAATAATGTTGAAAATAAAAATAAAAATAATAGAAAGATGGTTATTTCTATTAATGTGTTAATTTATATATACAAATTATACTTAATATAATAAATGTACGTATAAATGAGATTTATACGTCATTTGCCGTATGTCAATTGGTGGGATATCATTAAGGCTATTCGAAAAGGCAGGTAAATTGTATAAATATAACTTGTTGAAAGGTGATGTGAATGTAACTTTATTCAAATTTTAGTTTATTACGATTTTATTCTAAACTACAACCGCTTATTGAGACGATTGCTTATATTAATAAATATCTTTTAGAAATCGTTCGAGACAACGTCGCAACGAAAGTGAATTATCTTCTATGAAGATCTAATCACACTCTGCAGTTACGATCTTCATAGTGTCTTATCCTAAAATCTTAATAAAGAGAAATTTTACCAGATGTTAGGCTAAATAACGACGATAATTAAGACAATCGAATCCGTTATTAGTAAAATTATCATTAAAAAAACTTTTTATTTTTTAAAAATATCTTCATGTTATTAATAATTGATTCTTCGACTATTATTATTATTATTGTTATTATTATTGTTGATGTTATTAATAATTGATTCTTCGACTATTATTATTATTATTGTTATTATTATTGTTATTGTTATTATTATTATTATTATTATTATTATTATTATTATTATTATTTCTTATCTAATTTGACATAAGATAAGCTATTGCATACAGTATGGAATCAATAAGAATAATATTGTGAAAGGAAAAAAAAGTGTATCAGTGTAATTACCAACGGTTTTTTAAAATTGTTAAATATACAACCATGTCATGTACATAGGAAAATTATGTAAATATTATACTCATCTCTAAGTAATGTTATAAAATAAGTATAAAATAA